AACTACATAATTAGTTTCATTAGCCTACACTGGTTGGTAACTTGATCATTTTTCATGAATGCATTCAGCTTCTCAAAACTAAGAAGCAGCATATTGGATTATTCACCATAATAACATATTGCATAGAATCAGAGAGAAGGTTGCCTATAACAGAATAGAATATAGATATTATATTTCCTGCAATGTTTTGAAAACACCTCTAGCTTATTTACATGGAAATAAACAGAAGTTATCATGAACAAGGCAGTTCATTTGCATCTATATTGACATAACTCGGGAAATAGCTATGCTATTCGACTGTCTTTTTTCATAAAGTACCTATATCGATCACCTATGTTCCATACATATTCATGGCTATAAGAGTATGGTCCTCCAAATCTATGGGAAAAAATTGATACATATATGTAACAAAAATTTGAATCCAAGACTCATCCCCACAAATGCATCAATTAGCATTTTGGTAATCCCACAGCTTCAGCATCATTTATCTAAACCAAATTTTATGCAAAACATCTTTAGGGATTAACCCAATTAAAGCCAAGTAAGCATGTCTCCATTCCATCCTAAAAAGAAATTAAACAAAAAAAAATGGTATTGCAACACTGATTTTAATGAAGATATAAACCTACACGGCTTATACTTAGTTAACAACTGAATGAATAAGTTGATGCAAAGGCTTAATCCAGAACACCCATATGTTAGAGCTTGAAGCTACTTTTCGTTATAATAGAAGCACTCATCTCAAGCACAAATTTTTTTTGAAAGAAAAACATAAAAACAATTACCTGCAAGAGCTTTTTATTGTGGTATTTCGAAGAAAAATCATCAGAAATCAAATGGGTTGTTCCCGATCGACGGCTTAAGAAAAATGCATTTAAGAATTTATAAATTAGATATCCCCAAATAACCATCACAATAAGAACCCAAATACTAAAGAATAAACCCAGAAACATAGTGTAGGTACACTGAAAAGAAGAAGAAAAATTACCATGAATACAATAATTATTTGGTTCCATACCTGGGCTTTTATTTAAGATCAACTCTGATGATTCAGAATGGGATTTTTATTTTGTTATTAAAAGTGGGATTTTTATTTATTTTCGTTTTTATTTGGAAAAAGAAAATAACCAAGGGGCGTTTTTATTTGGAAAATTTTTATTCTTCCGTTTGGTTGGTCAATATTTTCGGTTCCAGTAATCTTTTATTATCAATAGTGGTATTTTGGGTATATTATTAAGAATGTGATTACTAGCGTTTTAGAATAAAATATCTTTATTTTTTTAAAAAAAAATATTATTCTTCTGTCGTTGAATAATAAAAATTCTACGAATATTAAATTATAAATTTATCCTTAAACTATTTTAGATTTATAAAAAAAGTCTATAATTAAAATTTTATATGAAGATCAGGGGTTAAAATAAAATTTTACCCTTTTATTAAACCTATTTATCTTTTCAATTTTATAAAAAAATTATATAAATTTTTTGAATTTAATTTTTTTATAGAAAATATATAAATTAATTATAGTAATATTAATAGTAGAATTTAACTTGTTAAAAAACAAATATATAATAAGGACAATTTGGTAAAATATACATTCCAATAATCTTTTATTCTTTTAATCAATCACTGTAATCTTACATTCCTGCTAAACCAACCAAACACAAAATACAACATTCACAGTAATCATATTCCCCAGTAATCTTTTATTTCTACTAATAATATTTACATTTCGTAAACTAAATGCACCCTAACATCTAAAGCTTTCCTTTATTTGTAGGATGGGGAGGTTCAACCGTGAGGAAAGTAAAAATGAAATAAAATATTTTTTTTATTGGGTAAACTACAAATTTAGTATACAAACGGTTGCTTTTATTCCATTTTGCTATCCAAACTTTTATTATTTTTCAAAATCGTATCCAATGTTTAGTTTAAATTTCAATTTAGTGTCACGCCGTTAAAATTTTAATGGTGATGTTGACATGTCATTATAAGATGATATCACATCATCATTGGAAAAAAATAAAAAAAATATCATGTCAATAATCTTGTTAATTTTTAACGACAATATACCAAATTAAAAATTAAAGTAAACATTAGGTGTGATTTGAAAAAATATAAAGTTTAGGTATCAAATAGAATAAAAGTAATAATTTAAATACTAAATGTATAGTTTACCCTTTCTTATTTGGGTCAATTGTTAAATAAATTCTAGATCATGACCCAAAGCCATAATGAAAAGAGAACATATAATTTTTTTTAGAAAAATCAATATCTTTGAAAAATAAATTATTTTGTTAATACCTTTTGATAAGAGAATCACTTTCTTTGACTTTTGAATTTATGTACACTTTCGTTCTAATTGTGGAGGATAAATTATGTGTATATAAGTTAATTTAGGGTTAAGTACATAAATCATTCTCTGGATATTAAAAATTACAAAACATTTTCTTGATTATAAGATATTATTTTGTTGAGTCCTTCAACTATTAGAAATTAGAAAATTGTCACTCAACTATTCATATGTTTTAAATTTGTCATTTTTTTGTTAAAATTGATGGTCATCTGGTCTAGATTTTAACATGTTGATCGATATATGATAACATCTGACCCTAGAATCTCAAATGACTATACAATTCAAATGATTTTGAGATCAGATTGTATCATATCCCAGTCAATAAGTTAATATCCATCTTAGATGGTTAAGTTTTTAGCGAAAAAGGACGAGTTTGAAATATATAAATAGTAGGGTCACCATTTTGTAACTTTCAATAGTCGAAGGACTCAACAAAATAGTTTCATATAACCGAAGGACCATTTGTGTACTTTACCCTTTAATTTAACATGTTATAATGTTTGGTTTAATATAATATAAAAATATAATGAGATAAAATAAGAAGAATAAAGTATGTACATTGATTTTTTTATGTAAATAAAAACGGTTAGGTTTATTAAAAAAAAGGAAATATCCGAAATTACTATAAAAGTTTATAATCATATACGTAAATTAAACATATAATAGGATATTTTCTATAATAATTGACTCAATAAATAGTCACTTGAGGTTATACATTTATACAAGAAAAAAAAGTTAAAAATTCATCCAAAAACTCGAATAAAATATAGATACGAACATATTCGATTGTATCGACAAACGAACCACAATAGGGGATTAAAGTATTGAAAGACCATCAACAAATGTAAATTAGTGCAGAGCATCGTGAGAAAACTATCTTTGAACGCAAACCATGTATTCAAATCAAATTCGATGGTCCAAAGAAAGAAATATCAATATGATAACAAATAAACACTATCTTAATCAATCGAGACGATCCAACCATGAGAAAATTAAACGAAGATAACGACCAAATGACTGATAACAAAAATCGAAAACATGCCAAAAGGTTAAAGAAAACATGTCATAAACTGAGGAAATATGCCATGAAGACATAGTTATTAGAAACTAAAAAATCAAAGTAAAAGTAAAGATGAAATATAAAAAAAATGATAAACAAAAAATATCAATTATTAACCAACACCAAAGTAGATATCAACGTAAACTAAATATAAAAAAATGGAGCAACCTACATAAAAATTGAGAGAAAACTAGCTAAGACTTCCAATAAGGACAACTACTGAATTCTTTTACAGGAAATGAGATAATGACAACTATAACAGGGTCGGATATATATTTCAACACATTCTCATATATTTATTTGATGATGTTACTCCTTAATGTTATCTCTAATGATTAACCAATAGCGTACAAGTATGGAAAGTTATTGGTGTATAAACTCAATGCCTTTAGGCTACCACTGTATAAATAATTCGACAACTCCGTAACATTTTGTGATTCTTTTATCTTCGTTGTTACAATTTACTAATACATTGAAATCCATTCTTTTCCAGCCATTACCTGTGTGAAGAATACTCCACCAGCCGCCGAAAAAGGTTACAAATATTGAACTGTTCATATCAGACAATTCAATTTTAGTTGTAAATGCAAAATTAAATATGTATATTTGTTCTTTTATTGGAATGTTTACTTGTTCTTAATATTGGCTTTTGTATGCACAAATACTTAGAAAATAGCAGCAATGATGCCGACGTTACACTGCTATTCCTATCTCAAGCAAAACTCGAAACTTGATGCAAGACTCATTCCCAAACAACAAAAACCTGTAGAAAAATTTCAATTCAAATCAAACGATCAGAAAAGAAACAAGAAAAGGAGAGAGGGAAAAGAGAATAACCCATCTTCAATTTTTTTTTGGATTTCTTACAATGCATTGGGTTGCCTGCCCATCCCAAGGGTTAAAAATAATGAAAGATCCATGTAGAGAATAAGGGTCCAAAATTTTAATATACCTCTCTTAAAGAATATTGAATATGTAATATTTTTTCCTCCCCTCGATACATTAAATTATTTTTTAATTTTTTTTCTAAAATATTGAAGATGGACTTGTTCTCTATCATTTAATACTAAATTTTTTATATTTTTTATCTAATTATTAGCTCTCTAAAATATATAACTTTGAAAACCTTAAATCAAATTTATCAAATAAAATACTTTAAAGTATTTAATAAGATTTAAAAGGCAAATTTTTTAAAGCAAAAAAAAAAAAATTCAAGGAAACTTTCTTTGCCTAAGATTGTAATTAGATTTATTTATAATAGCAAAAATCATGTTATATTTAAATTAATTTATAATAATAAAATTCTCGAAAAGGAATCCCCAGTTCAACTTGTACAAAAAGGATGAAGGTAATAATAGTTTTTGAAAACCACTAGAAATTAGAAAATGAAAGTACAAAATTTTAATATTTTATTTTTTAAGAAAAATGGATATGTAAATTCTTTTATTTTTTTTATTCTCCTTAATATATTAAATTAAATTTAATAATAGGTATGCAATTAAACTCCACAAAAGTCATATACATCCTCCCATGATTGAAACCACAAATGCTTATTTCACTACCTTGTTTTAATTATGAAGAAAATCAAGTCCCTTGAACGTGGGCCAAGGCTGCAGTCGCCATCTTTGATTGTTTATTGAACCAGCTCATGAATCTGGCTATAAACTCTGCGTCCAATAATTCCAATATAAATAGGAAAACAAGCGAGTGCAAAAATCTGCCTTGAATGAAATGCATACCTTCGATTCTTGAGAAAACCCTGCTGTCCTTTGTTTCCATATCATCTTCGCTCTCAATCATATTTTCATCATCCCTCTTAATTAACAGCAATCAGCTTTAATTGGAGATAATTAAGATAGTTATGAGGAAACATAAAGCAAAGGGTTCATCCATATTCTTACATTGTATTCTTCAAATAAACAATCTACTTGATGGTGCAGGCTATCCTGCAACTGCTTCTTCACTTCTTCCACCAATGACTGTAAATTATTAAGATTGAATAAATTAACTCGACTGAAATATTATAATCAAACATTGAGACTACTAATTCAAAACAAAATTGAATATGCAAATAAAGCAAAATTTAGTCGCTTCTGATCGGTCGATAATTCATTGAATTTTTTACTTTTAATATTATTCTTTTTAGCTTTTTACCATGTTTAAAAAAAATAAGCTATATATTTTTTTTATTCAATATTTAAACTAGTCAGTGTAATCCCGAACCATTTGAAGGTGGGATTAGATACCTAAACTGCAAAAGGAAGGGGAAAGGAAAGGAAAGGGAAATAGAGAAATAATAAAATGAAAATTGAATTAGTGGGGGAGTGATTTGTATATTTGATATGTTAAAACATAAAAGTTTTCTAGGAATGGAATTTTTTTTTGGGAATGGGAACATTTGTTTTTGAATAAATGTGGGAATTTCATGTTGTTAGAAACTGAAAAAAATAACTATTAGATAAAATTATTTTATTTATTTGAATTACTACCAATTAATTTTTATTTAAATATATTTAAATATAATCATATACTAATTTTGGTGTGATGAAAAAAAAATACCCCTAACATTTGACTGAATAATAACTTTAGCTCCTTTTTTTAACCACGTGATCTCCAACGTTTTATTTTAAGTCAAAATGATTTTTGATTGGATGAGTTAGTTGACCAACAATCAATGCTTATTGTTAATGTAATAAGTCTTGCATATCTAAAGGACTGACATAACATATATCATTTCATCACATGTGACATATAACATGTTATAACTTTGAACACGTTACATGTGTTAAGTCATCATTTATATACATGTGAAAGTCACATGTCATCACTTTAGACATGTGATAATATTATATCATCACTTTAGACACATGACATGTGTCATATCATCACTTTTGTAAATATAATAATGTCATGTCAATCTTTTAGACACATAAGATAATTTTTAAGATTATACCATTAATTTTAAGATAGCTGTATTAATTTTTATTTAAAATAAATAACTATTATTAAAAATAAATAAAATAATTACATGTCTGTTAGTAATGAACCAGCATTTATTAATGATAAATATCATTTGTAAAAGTTAGAATTAATAACATTTATATTTATTTAAAAAACATGATTTTGAGAATTACAACATATTGCAAGTAGGTGAAATATTTTTCTTTTGGTTTTTTTTTTTGGGTGAGCCCTACTTACCATGAATATGAAGTCGGGAGACACATCATGCTCTACCAGATTTTGAAGCTTTCTGCGGATTATATATAACCTGTAATTCACCAAGTTCAAATGCTTAAGCAATTACAGATAATCTTAATGTTATAATATGATTAAGTGATGTTAATATCTTCTTATGCAAAGTTCGAACGCTGTCATTTTTTCCCAAATTAAACTCGATTTCAAAGCACCAAATTTAAGCAAACAACTCACTGTTTTGTGCTTCGCTCCTCTACCATGTTTTTGGCAATATTTGCAATGTCTTCTTCCCATCCGGACAGAATTTTTTGGTCTTCCTTGAAAGGATAACTGAAGTTCACCAATAACAATATATTTTTAGAAAAAGAAAAAAAAATCTCTGGAAAAAGCTTACTAATGGAGCGGATGTTTGTTTTACCTTGATTCCCTACAGGCTTCGAATGAACGAATGGCTTGACGCAGATTATTCTTTGAACTTTCAGCAATCCTTTCAGCAAACTTATGGGACAAAGACAGGCCTTCTTGTTTAGCTATAAATTCCAGGACTCGAACAATCTGAAGCAAAAATACCAAAACTTGATAAAACAAACATCATTTTATGTTGCAGCAGGATTTAAACAGCAATGGCAGCCACCTCTTCTTTCGAGGGCGGTAATAGCTTAATGACTGTGCAAAGTGACCTAATCGGCTGAAGCTTAGACACGTTGGAGCAGCAGAAGAAAACCTTGTTGCCAGCTTTATACCTTTCCAACAGCCATCGGATGTACAATAAAGCATCTGGGCTTAATTTGTCTGCTTCACATAAAATAATGGCTGCACAAAAATTCAACCTTTAAAAACCATATACTGGTAGATGATTTGTGGTGTTGTTATAGAGTAGTAGGATTGATTACTTCTACAGTTTTCAGGGTCGTTGGACAAAGCTTTATTAGATTTGGAGTTCTTTGCTTGTGTTTCCTTCATTAGTTCCACAATCACATGCTTCTCGTATCCTCTTAGATCCGACAGATTGACTTCTATGTGTTTGTCAGATTCCTTTACATTTACTTCGATTCTTCCTACTGATTCCCCCTGTCATTGATTATACATTTTTCATTTCAAAGCTATACAGATATAACTCAATGTCGTTTATTAATGTGGAGGATTGTCAATTACCTTCAAGTGAAAAGCCTTGAGCTCGTCCCTTGTCTGCAAAACATGAAAATTAAGATACCTTTTACTCTCTTAGCTAGAATAAATTAGGCCAAATTATGGGTTGTCCTTCAAATTTAATCTTTTTTACTCTAATAATGTCATTAGTTAATTTAAATAATCCGTTTAAATTAAACGGTGATGTGTTCCCCCCTAAAAACATCCATTTCAACACAAAAAGGGTAAACTACATATTTAGTCACCAAATATTTATGCAGTTTTTGTTTTGATCATCCAACTATTTATTTTCTTCAATCATACTTAGAGTTACGTTTTGGTCACTCGCCATTAAAAAAATTAACGGTGATGTTGACGTATCACTGTAAGGTTATACTATATCACCATTGAAAATAATAAAAATATAACACCAACAATTATGTTTTTTTAACTGTGGATGATCAAAACGAAACTAAAACATAACTTTAAGTATGCTTTTGGAAAAAAATAGTTAAATGACCAAAACTAAATCGCGAAAATAGCTAAGTGACTAAATATGTAGTTTACCAAAAAAATGCCAATTTGATGAGTTGAAAGACTTATTTTTTAAGAGAATTTTGGCAGTATTAAATTTAAATAATTGAGGTGTTTATTATTTCAACACACTAGTGATATTATAAATGTAGAGGATAAGTTATACTAAATTAAAATATAAAGACTTAATCAACAAATATGAGCATAATAAATGATCAAATTCAGAATTTGACCAAGAAATTGTGGCTTTGCAAACGAACGAATATGCTCATACAAGAGACCAGACTGTTATTATAAGTGACAATTTGCATGAAGCGAAGTTGAAGGGTCATCTAAATGAGGGTAATTTACATTAAAATCCACATAATCTAGCATCAATTTACATTTTAGTCAGAAATCTTTAACTTCATCAAATTACATTATTGAACCTTTTATTATTAATAAATTAAACTAAAAACATTCAACGAAATTAATATAAATAACCTAATTTGTTAATAATAAATGTTCATTAATATTATTTGATTAAACTAAAGATTTATGATTTATATAGTATTTTATGTTAATTTGGTGACCAAAAAGATAAAATGCCCTCTAAATGACTCGAAACATAGCCAAAATCATGTTTCCCGTGAAGTTTTATTTTTTAATAATATGATGATTATAATGTAATATATGTTTAGAATATTTTTAACCTATTGACAACGTATATACATTGCGTAAATACTTAATATTATCATACCTGAACTTGGTCGGGTCCAAAAACTTCTCGAAGCATAGCCAAAATCATGGTTCTCTTGCCAACACCAGGAGGTCCTTCAAATATAATGTGATTACATTCTCCACTTTTCACCTGTAACATACGACATACAATTGGGGCACGAAGTATTAGAAACTAAGAAAGTCTATATATATATATATATGAAAAGTAATAGCAAGTAATGGTCTACTTATTTGTTTTAATCCTTCTATTATATTAAAATTTAGAAAGATGTATTTAATTTTATAATATTATAAACAAGTCTGAAAATCGGTAACATCATAAACAAGTCTGAAAATCAGTAACATCGTTAGCTTCTACAATTAAAGCGATTATGAGAGATCGTAATTTAAATTTAATTTGACCAAAACTAAAAAAAATTATAGTGTTATTCGTTTGATGAAAAGTTAAATTTGAGAGAAAATAAAGATTTATAATAGATGTGAAAGATTTCAGACCAAATAAAACATGTATATAGAATTAAAATGAATCAAATTGTATATCCATTGATGGAATTCATCCTCAAAAATATATTTATTTTAAAGAATTATTAAAATAAATTTAGATTGCCACCGGTTCCTTCATAGTCTTGTCACTGTGTACATTCATTATCATTATTTAATATAATTATTATTATTCAATCACATATCATTTTTACATGAAAGTTTAATTAATTATTTTAGCCAATAAAATTTACATGTTAATAAAATATTTAAGACTCTTTTACATATAAAAGAAACTTTATCACTCTAAAGAGTAAAGACGACAAGAATATTGTCTATTTAGACCTATTAATAGTATTATAAATGTTTATGCATTAAAACTCAAATTTTAACATAGAATAAGGGCTAAAATAAAAATAGACCATAAGTAATTAATTCTTTTTTTTTTTGTTGATAGGAATAAGTAATTAATTCTCACCAGAACCTGCAACCGAGTGACCTCACTTCTATTGCAGATGAAATCTTTTAAAGTTTTGGGTTGGTACTTGTCTGCCAATATGTACTTTTGGTGCACCTTGTAAACATCGGCATCTTTCTTCTCAACAACAGTTCCATCCGCCGGCAAGATTACCGCGCCGTCACCGGTGTAGTCGCCGGTTCCCATACTCTCTCCCTCAATGGCTTCTCCTCAACTACTAACTGAACATCAAGAGGATCGTCGACCTCCTTTTTCTCCAGCCTTGTAGTTGTTTTATTACACGTTGACGACGAAAAACTAGTTGCTTTAACAGGTTTCAGAACATCAGCTGGAGTAGAGGGGTCCTTGTAATGATCACCAGTTGTCCTACAAGTAAAACAACTAGAACCAAATTCTTGAACTTTACCCAACATACTCGAAAACGAGCTAGATGAATTGGCCGCAGTAGTTGCTTGACTCTCTCGATCCGGACTGTTGTCGGGTCCAGACTTCTTTTCGCGGTTTATAGAAAGGGTGGAATCAGTGAGTCCTTTGTAATAAGGACTGCACTTATTGTTCCTTTCATCATTCATGCCAGCAATGAAATTGGTGACATGAACCTTATGAGGAAGTATTCCATGAAACTCATTATGTGCACCGAGACTCTCCTCTGTTAAATCAGACTCTTTTCTTCTTCGATCGATGAAGTCGCCTAGTTTACTGATGTTGCTCCAACTAATCCAGTAGGAGGATTTTTCACGACGATGAGTGGAGGCCGAGGATCGACTCAACCGGGGGATGACGACGAGGGTCTCGGCTTTGGATGTCTTGATGGTGAGGTCCGGATCAGATGAGGAGCGTCGGGGGCGAGTAGTTGGACTCGGAATTGCATTTGTTGTGCTGCCCTGCCGGTTTTTGTTAATATGCTTTGATTTGTTTGCCATCCCACGCTTGCCCTCCTTTTGTTTCTTTTACTATCTTTTTTCGTTGTTTTGATATCTACCGATAAAGATGGTGAAGAACAAACTTTGGGGGACATCGAAAGCTTCCCCTAATTCATTTTTAAAGAGAAGAAAATAAATTTCTTATTCAATAATATTTTTGTTTATTTTGAATCAAATAGGCAAGTTATACTCTACTTTTTAATTTATTACTCAATTTTTTAATAAAAACATTTTAATACTACTTAAATAATTTTTTTAATTTTTTTTTTCAAAAAAAAAAAATTTTAACATCAAATATATTTCTCTAACAATTTCTTGTGAGAAACTCCCTCTCAACTTTAAATCATCAATGTCATTTCAATTTCAATTATTCTTCGATAAATAAATCTTTTATTTTCTTTTAAGAAATTAAAGTTTACAAGGATAATAAATCATGATGATAAAAAAATATTATAATAAAATCCGACTAAATTAATCGTTGGATGAGATAAAGAGTTTGTTTGATTTTGTAAATAAAATTTCAGAATCTAGTAGCCACGTTAAAATAAAGAGGGGGACACGTATGGATAAAATCAATGGAATGCATTTTCTGTGAAATACTTATAGAGAAACTCAAAAGTGGAATAAAACATCTGATACTTTCATATTGGGTTCTATAAATCGAGTAGCCACAATTATTTTTAAGAGATTCCAAGTTTAATGCGACACAAGAACATTGTAGAATACCATTTGAGGATCATAAAAAATACATAAAAAATTATATGTTAAATTCGATGAGAGGGTAAATTTGGATAGAATGACAATATGAAAATGATAACATGAGACAGAGAAACATATGATGATGTAGTGACAATAGTATTTGTATGCTCTTTTTCTACTATATTAAAATTATGTTTTATTTGTTATTTTAACTGTGTATATACCTAATGAATACACTTGAAATATCCATTATTTTTAATAAAAATGTTTGATAATTATGATGAGATGGTCGTGGTTATCAATCAAGAATAACAACATAGAGTTTTTTCCATAATATTTACTGATATAGATTTGGACAATTTTAATAAATATTCGATAATGATTAACTTCAAGAAGAAAGATGTGAGGAAGAAAAAAAATATCTTCATCTGGAACATCAAAACATAAAAAAAATCAAAGAAAGTGTTGATAATAACTATAACCAATCCGTGAGTGACAAATTTATGAGATTAATGAATCATTAAAAAAATATTAGGGATAAGACGTAATATTTTTACAAAGAAGTGATGTTGTTGAAGAAAAAAAATTGATGACAAATTTCTTTACAATGTGTTTGATTTTCTAGTAAAAAATGAGTTCGTGGCTAAAGTTTTTTTTACTAAAAAAAATATCAAAAATTTTGGCTTAAAAGTTTATCTAAGGTTAAAAATGTGTAATTTTAATGTGATGTTTAATAATAACATATACTTATAAAATATTAATGTATTAATATGTTGTAGTGCTAACTATGTACTTTAACAATATCGTTGGTTTAATGTGTTGTTCTGCAATTAGACAATATTATTATATTATTATGGTGTACTATTAATTATGTATTTAGATAATATTATTGTTTTAGTATGGTGTGATATTATTTATGTATTTGAACAATATTATTATTTTAATATGGTGCGTTACTAATTTTATTGTTGAGAATTATTATAGTTTAACGTGATATGATACTAATTAATATCACTCTTTGTTCTTTTAATGTAGGCATGGAGGAAACATACTTTTTTATAATTTATTAAGATAATATCAATTGAATATAATTATAATATCAATTAAAAATTAAAATACAAAGATAATATTACAAATACCAATAAATATGCATCATAAATATTTTAAAATTAAAACAATATATTTATAACATAATCAACTTAAGTTACTTATATTATCTACAAATATAAACTAATTTTTAAACTTTTGTAAAATATAATTTGATAACAATAAATTAACTTAATAAAAAGGGTAAAAATTAATAAAAGGGATATAATCATGTTACACAATGTACACAGATTTTGGATTGTTGAATGAGTGAAAATAGATGGTTGAGATTAACAGTAGGAAATGAGAAGATATTCACTAGGAAAAAAAATACAAGGTGTTAATCTCAGACATCTATCTTCACTCATCCAACGGTCCTAAATATGTGTGAAACTAAAAAGTTTTACATTATGTAAGTGGATCCTAACCCTTAATAAAATCTATAATATGCTTATTTCTTTTTTAGATAATTCAATTTCATTACCCAAGAAGCAGAAAATCATGTTACAGTAAACAAAGACAATAAATAGCATAATAGCAAAGCAAGGAAATCATGTGGAAACCACAAAGAAAACCAGTGAACTAAACTAGAACAGCAAGATAGACCCTATTCAGGCAATGCCCCAATTAACACATAGAGCAAGTCTAACCGGTTGAATGCTTTTCCCGCCAGCCTAATGTGTATAGTCTCTTTGATGTCACCTAACAACTCATCATTCGATCTTGCCCTGTTCCCGAATAGTCTGCCATTTCTTTCATTCCATATACCATAAATGTTCCCAGACCAAGCAAGCTTAAGAATAACCACAATGAGGGACTTACCCTTGAGTAATAAGGTAGCCCAAGCCAGTTCACTCTTCCAACTACAACATTCTCGAGAGATACAACAAAGATTAAGAATGGATCCCCAAATATCCCTTGCAAATTGGCATTCGAAGAATAAATGATCCCTGGTCTCAGCCTCGTTATCGCACAACAAGCATTTATCCGATTCAATAGCAAGGCCCATGCGCAGAAGTCTTACTCGAGTAGGAAGCCTGTTTAATAAGGCCATCCAGACGATGATACTATGCTTAGGAATACGACCCGAGAACCAGACCAGGTGGTGCCAAGGAACCTTAGGAGCTGGGGGGCGCAACTTGTCCCAGATGTAACTCGTACTAACCTCTTGGGCTAGACCCACAAGGATGGGAGCAACTTCAGGCCTGATTTTCAGCAAGTATTTAAAGCTCCATCTAGTATTCTTAGGGACTTCCATCTGCTAGAAGTCAGCATTTCTTAAAACATAAGAACGCATCCACGCCACCCAAAGAGAGCCATTGTTAGCCAAAAGCTTCCTGATTAACTGGACAACATATGACTTATTCCAGCCACCTATATCATGAATCCCCAGTCCACCTTCAGATCTCAGCAAACAAATAGATTTCCAACTCACACGTGCTCCTTTGGCTGGGGTATCGGACCCTTTCCAGAAGAAACGAGAGCACAACTGCTCAACCTTCCTAATAATTGCCTGAGGAAGAATAAGTTTCTTGCTCCAGTAGCTAGTAATGCTGAGTAAGACGGAACGAACAAACTGTAAACGACCAGCAAAGTTGAGATGCTTGTTGGCCCATGAACTAAGCTTAGCTCTAATTTTGTCAATAAGGCCTTAGCAATCTTTGACAGCCAATTTCCTGGTAATTAGCGGGACTCCCAGATATCGCACTGGGAGGCTACCCAGCTTGAAACCAGTGCTCTCCTTGATGATACTGAGTTGCTCTATAGGAATACCCACAACATACATCTCACATTTGATGGCATTAAGCTTCAGCCCTGACATGGAATAAAAAAGGTACAGCACAACCTGCACTCCTATAACAGAATCCATGGTACCCTTGCAAAATATGAGGAGGTCGTCCGCAAAACAAAGGTGGGTGAGCCCAATTTTCTTACACTTTGGATGATAGCTAAAGACACCCTTTTCAACTGTCATATTAAGGAGATTAGACAAGACATTCATTGCTAGTACAAAGATGTAAGGTGAGAGGGGGTCACCCTGTCGCACTCCTCTAGCCCCTTTAAAATATCCAACAAGACTACCATTGAAAACAATGAAATATCTAGGATTAGCAAAGCAAGCCCATGTCTAATCTATGAACTTTTCAGGCAGCCCCATGGCATACAAGCTCACATTAATGAAACCCCAATTTAAGGAATCAAAAGCCTTTTGCAGATCTATCTTAAGCCCCTAACGATTTCCTGTGCGATGAGAGTATTTTCTATTATGCTTCTCCCCTTTACGAATGCAGTTTGATTAAAAGAGATCATATCAGGAAAAACCAAAGAGAGCCGGTTCACTAAGATTTTTGTAATCGTTTTGTAGACAACCGTGCAGCAGGATATGGGCCTAAAGTCCTTCGCAAGGCTAGGATTAGGGATTTTAGGGACAAACACCACAGTAGTTGCATTAAATGAAGGAAGCACAAAAGAATGATCAAAATAGTATCGAACAGCTGTCAGGAAATCCTCTCCAACAATATCCCATGTCTTTTTGAAAAAGAAGACATTATACCCATCTGGGCCAGGGGACTTATTGTTCTCTTGTCCCCATAAGGCCTTCTTGATTTCAGTTTCAGAAATAGCTCTACATAAACCATCAGCTGCTTTACGTGACAAGGAATAACCAAGGAGATCCTTGATACAACTAACAGAACTAACCTTAACTTCAGGGTCAACCACTCCAAGTTGGTTCACAAAGAAACTAACCACTTCATTTGACATGTCCTCAAAAGTGTCAAGCCTGGCACCACTTTGATTGTAGAGGACTCTAACAGTATTACATTTCCTTTTAGAAGCTACCATGGAGTGAAAAAATTGTGTACCTTGATCACCTTCCCTAATCCAGTCGGATTTAGCTTTTTGCTTGTAGAAAAGTAACTCAGCTTGTTCAAGAGCCCTCAACTCCTTTTCAGTTTCCAGCTCAGCAATGATACTTCTTCCAGTAGTAGCAGGATAAAGGTTAGCAAGTTGGAAAATCTCCAATTTTTCCCTATTCTCTCTAACTTACCCAGATATGTTGTTGTAATTATTTCTATTAAGTTCCTTAAGATGTATTTTCAGCCTCTTAAGCTTTAGAAAGAGTGTTTGAGAAGGATTTGCATAAATTAGGGCTTGCCAAGAATCCTTGAGTAAGGACATGAAATCAGGATGCATAACCCAAAAGTTGAAAAATT